TGTTATCGATCCCCACCAAAAAAGGAAGAAAAAGAAAAATCTAAGATTCACTACTTGGATATATATATATATATATATATATATATATATATATATATATATATATTACAAAAACTGAAATTTCTGCTAGTAAGAAGCCAACACAAAACCCAATCATAAAACTTGGTCACTCAGTATAGGTTATCAACCATAGGTTAAGCCCAACTTGACTAGCCAAAGGCCACATTGTATTAAGTTTTAACTTGGACGAACTCGGTCAGGACTCAGGCCTGAGCAAGTTGGTTGGGTTAAAGGGTTTTTTAGCCCATCTTTCATTGCTTCATATATATTTTGGGTTGTGCAATAGAAACAAAATAAATAAAAGGTTAAATTACAAAGACCCCCTATACTATGGGATTTGTGACAAAGACCCCCTTTCGTTAGCCTTCCATCCAAAAAGGCCATTACAATATTTTTTAATCCCCATACTACCCTTTTAATAACTAGACTAGAAAAACACAGTTCATCTTTCATAATCTTCCGATACTATCATTCCCTTCCTTCACATTTCTCTCTCTCTCCTTCTCTCTCCCTTTCTCTCCACTCTCCCCCAATCTCTCTTCGTTCCCTTCCCCTTAACAATGTCAGGATCTCCACTCTCCATTCTCAGTTATCACAATTATGTGGTTCTTTCATCAGAGAATTCTACCACCACGCTATGCATGCATCAAGAATATAAAAACACCAGAAACCTATTCTGAAAAGATCTTTGTTGGTTGTTTGTTATGCTTCAAAAAAGATAACAAAATGTTGATAGACTAGGAGGGGCACTTGATCTGGGACTGGAAAGAATAAAAACTAAACGCTAGCTGGTGGTTGCTACACCCTCTAGTAACCCATGAACTCTAGGAGTCAGTGGTCATTAATGGACCATTCTGCTAAGCTTTTCAAACCTAATAAGAAAATGACTTCTTGCCCTCCTTCAGAGTTCAGACACTATTGCTAAATATAATTACTCTTCATACTAGACTGGGTTGATAATTGAAGGGGATTGTTATTTGTTAATGAGTAGTTAGTTGGTTTCCGTTAAGGACAGAAGGTCCTGGAGCAAAAGGCTTCGACTTCCAAGATGAACTTCTCATTCAAATGGAATACCTAGATATGCCAATAGCCTTCTAGACCAGTTAGTTAGAACAGGTGTGAATAGAAAGACATAAAGTTAATTGTAGGGAAAGGGGATACCAAGTCTGGGTCTGCATCTGTGAATCTGCAAGTAGTTCGGTAGTTCTTGATCCTTAGGGGTTATGGGTCCTTATAACATATGTACTTGCTTGTCATCACTTGCACCAAGCTACCAAGAAATGGCTCTAACATGAATATCACTAGTCCAAAATTATAAATGCTAAATGCAAAAATAGAACCAGCACAAAGATTTTCAGGGGTTGTTACTACTAGATGTTAGTCTTAAACTCAAACGTGAGAGATGTTATATATGCATGGAATGCAGCATAGTCTTTGATCCATTGGGTTCAACATAGAATTTGTCAAAAGTGGTATACCAATATGAGCACCAGCAACGATAAAGTTCATCGTTCAAGACCACAATTGATGAATCTAGAGACTATAAGCATCTATCTGGTGATAGTGGATGATAAGCTTTGCCTTTTCAGTTGTTGATGTACTCACTTCAGATTTCTGGGTTCTAGGGCATCAGAAAATTTAATGGATTCTCGATCGTATTGACCTTTTGATTTTATTCGGGAATCCTTTACACATACACGATGATCCAACAGGTGCACTGGGAAAGGATCAAAGCCAATGTTGGTGAAAGACCTTTTGATTTTAAATGGGTTCAGCTTTATCCAAATGCCAAATACTTCTGTATCTTAGGTGATTAACTTTAGATCCCCTCTTGCCCCTGTGATAACGTTGTCATGTAGGCTAAGATTTGTAAGAGCTTGAAGTTGGGTGATCTTCTCGAAGATATGGGTAGACATCCTCCGTCCTTTGATTTCGGAGAGTTGGGAGAGAAAAAGAATGAGAGAGGACGGTGAGGGAGGGGAAAAGAAGAGAAGAAAGGGAAAACAATAGGTTAAAGGGCAAAAAAAGAAAATAGAAAAAATTTAGTGGGTTATTTTGGTAATTTAACGCATTCCGCCATCTGATTTAACAATTAAGGGGGGTCTTTGTCTCATGGTCATGATACAACAGGGTCTTTGTAGCAAAACAAAGTACAAGGGGGTCTTTGTCACAGATCCCATAGTACAATGAACTCTTTGTAATTTGCCCTAAATAAAAATACATGGGAACATCATTATCTACATATTTATACATAATGTAAAGATTTATATGTGGGTTGTGCTTGTGTAAAATGTTTTTTTTTGCATAGTACAATAAATGGTGTATCATCATCATCATCGACATCATCCTTAACTTATCCCCACTATATGGGGTCGGCTTAGAGGTGTAAATCAAGTTGTGCTGCCCATGGCCTAGCACGACCCAGTATGACGGTAAATGAGCCGTGTCAGGCCCGATACGATTCCGAGCCATTTTGGGGCTTACCCAGTTTGCACTCATAACAATAATAAACAACTGGATTCGAATGTCAGACAAGTTTATGAGATGGTTCTTCTATACACAGGTTGATAAAACATGTCAGCATAAGTTCAATTAATTTTGGGATTGGGCTACAACAAATAACGGGTTTCACATGAGAAGCAAACTAATAAGTCCTCTACTAGGTACGCAATGGATCAAATTAACTCTGAAATTAGCTACAACACATGATAGAAATCACAATATCAGTGAGCTTTTTTTATACTCAACAATTGTGTAGTATTTTTTAAAATTATTGTAAATTTTGTTTTTCAATTTTATTTAACTTATTTGTTATTTTTTCAACAATGTAATGTTTTTATTTTCAATTTATAACTCCATTATAATTTTTATATTTTATTCCATTTTCCATATTTCATTCATTCATTGATCATTGTTTTGTTCAAATTCAAATGAAATAAAATTCATTTTTTCCTATTTGTTGTACATTTTGTATTTTGTTAAGTATCTTTTACTTTTTGTTAAATTTTTATTTTTTCAATTTGTTCCCAAAGTCGAGTATTTTACTTAGAAAAAAAGTGAAAAAAAAAATCAAAATGTCAAAGAAAAAAACAAAAAAAAACTAGCCCAGTTCAGCCCAGATTGTAGCCTAGCTCAACATGGCCTACAACCTACCCAACCCAAGCCCATGGCATGGCACAACACGGGTCCGCATAAGCTTGAGCCATGGGCCATGCTAGGTCGACCCCCTGAAGTATCCCAAGGGAGGGAATCACAACTTGTGCTTTGTGTAGACCATGTCGTACTGGCCCAACATGGCCTGATTTACTCCTCTACAGAATGGTGAAGCAGAATCCAAAATTATATAGTTGGGATTTTTTTAACAATAGAACATAGGATAAGGGTTGGATGGTGATGATTTCTCAATGTTCAAAGAGCCAAATCGGACACAGAACACACACACACACACAATATATATATATATATATATATATATATATATATATATATATTAAAGGTCATAAATACATACATACATACATACATATATATATATATATATATTAAAGGTCATAAATACTATATATAATATACTTTTACAATTTTTATTATAATTAAATATGGTGTTTGGATGACAAGTTTGTTTTTCAAATCTTATTAAATGTATTTTAAAATTTCAATTGGTTAAACACTTGGGCAATTTCATGAATTTGGGACTAGTTCATCGGTTTTTCTATTAAATCAACCGGTATCCGGTTTTCACCAATTTTTTAATAAAAGTGGTTATTAGGTAAGACTAAATTGGTCAAGGTCCTAATCACGGTCAACCGGTCCAATCAGCCAGTTAGGTCCAGTTTTCTAAACACTATGATTTCCAATACTCTAAACCTTGTCCCTATTTGTTAATGTTAGTAAAGAGTCTTCACATTGTAAACTTATAAGTAGAGCCACAACTTGGGTTGGGTTGCCTAAACCCTATCTCATAAATGTAGGGCCGGATTGGCTTGGGTTTAGTTGAAGTTTGGGTTAGGATTAGGGTTAAAAAGTATGAGCCTGCCTTAACTTTGGGTCAGGTCAGGGTTGGGGGCTTGACCAACCCAAACCCGAGGCTTAACTGAGCCCAACCTGAATACAACCTATAGTTTTGGATTCAGGTTGGGGTTAGGGTTGGGGTTTCAACAACTCAGGTTCGATTAGATTGACCTCAACCCAACCTAACCCACGCATCCCTACCCTACCTTTAAGTAGCAACAAAATATAAACATTGTTTTTAAAGTTTAAGTTAAAAGAAACATGTATTCAGAAATCACAAAGAAATAATAAAAAATTTGAAAAGTAAGATACGTGATCAGTACTTTAAGAACAGATTCATGCACCTTTTTTTTATTTTTGCATCAAATCAATCGGTTTACATATATTCCTTGAAAAGTGAGAATTCAAGGGCAAGATTCAAAAATTTACAATATATCAGCCTATATTAATCGATACATATCATATTATTAAGGCATAGGAAATGCTGCAAAACCCTTTGTATTGTGCCCTTTCATCATGTCAACCCCGTATCATAACCACAATGGGGTGTAAACCCTATTTTCCTGTATATTGGTTACGATATATTTTTGCATAAAAATTACTAAAACGTAATTTCTATATATATACAACTCATTTAGGTCTCATATTTAATGGTATGAATATATTTATATTTAACCTGTATATCCTATTTATTTGTCTGCATCAATATGTATCGTCGTATCCAAAGCATATCCCGATACATCTTTTAAATGTCTTTCCGATACAATTAGATTATGTTTGCTTTGAAAGAAAAAGTAGAGAAAGGAAAGGAGGAAAGATAGAGAAACCAATACAAAGTTTGTAAAGGTTTCCCTTTCCCTTCCTTTCCCTACATTTTCCTTCAAACCAAACATAGCCTCAGTGTTTCTAACAAATTTAACCTTGCTCAATGGTTCCATGACTTCTATCCAATTTCTTATCAGTTCAAAGAAATCGACATCACAACAATGCCCTGCTCTAGCCCAACTAAGTAGACACTGAGTATAAAAGTCACAAGCATTTTTGTGATGAAAGAAAATCCCCACGTAGATCACATTTATTGGATTATACACAACATTCAAGAAAGGAATTTAACCACACCAATGAAACACTCCATTCCTTCACAAGTAACAAAGACAAGCCAATCCACAAACGCTAAGCACTCAGTAATTTCAGCTGGCATTGCAATGCGGTGACCAGATCTAGAGATATGTAGTTAAAAAATGAGGAAGCAGCATGGATAATAATGACTAAGAACCTCCTTGGAATGTTAGCCGATCCCGCAAGGTGTCAAAAATAGACGAAGCTGCTGCATTCTGTGCAAAGGTTAGTTTCAATTTGCCAAGCAATTCATTATCTTTTGACTGAGATGCAGCGTCTGCAGCTTCCTTTGCCATACCAAGGCGAGCATATGCCTGCTTGAAGAACCCGTTCATAAACAAGTATGGAGAAAAACATTATTTTCTTGTATTTTCCCCTTCTAACAGCAATGACAAACAAGCCTGGTAGATTGATTAACTCATTGGCATCAATGCCATAAAAGGAAACAAAGAATGTTTGCACTGAGCTACCTAGGCATGGACCTTAATCGTTTTTCATCATGTTCATGGTGGAGCTGATGCTAAACCATGAAAAAAATCAGATCCAGGTCTGGGTACAACTAGGATCTAATAGACATATTTGATCCATTTATTAATTTTGTTGGATTCAGGGAAACCATATTATACGATGGGATTCTCATACTATTGTCATATCAGAAGCTATTGCAAATCCTGAAATTGAACATCTTGTTTCAATCCACTCTCGAAATCCAAATCCCCCATGCAATATATCATATTCTGCACTTCTTTTCCCCACAAGCCTATTTAAAGCCATGTTTGGGAGTGCTTAAAAATAAGTTTTTATTTGGGCTAGGAAAACACCATTAAGCACTTATTGGTGTTTGGAAAATAAGCCTGAATTTATTTTAAAAATAAGGGTTTATTTTTTTAGCCCAAATTTCCAGCTTTTTAAGTGCATCTACAATAAGCACTTATTCATTTTTTTATTCCAAAATTATCCCTAGTTGAATTTTAAAATACCACTTATAAAACTATCTCAAGTGAATTTTATAGTACTTTCGTAAAAGTACTTTTATAAAAGTTCTTTCATAGAAGTGTTTTTATAAAAATGTTTTCATAAAAGTACTTTTATGAAGTGCTTTCGTAAAAGTGCTTTTGTAAAAGTGCTTTCGTAAAATTTGAAAGAAAATAAAGGGGAAAATAGTCACAAATGCATATTTAAGTGCTTATTGGAGAAAAAGACTACCAAATTCCCAATATGAAGTAAGTGCTTATTTTTTACACTTGAAAAAGTTGGGTGCCAAATGCAAATAAGTGCTTATTTGAATATTCACTTGCCTTTAAGCACTTGTTTTTAACATAAGCACTCCCAAACATGGCTAAGTTTCCTATAAAAATCTCATCTTTGTTTGGAATTTCTTAAATTAATCCTTCTAGGTTTTCCCAAAATTGCTTTTAATGTTGTCTTCTAAACCTACTTGAGGTGCATAAGCACTAATTTGTTAATGATTTCCTCACCTGAAGTAAGTTTAGTTAAAAATATTCCATCTCCAATACTTTTAACATTTACAATTTCATTTTTTAGATGTTTATCTATTATTGTTGTTACTCCATTTTTATCATTTACTTCACCCATGTACAATAATCTGTAATCATCAATTTCTTTAGCTATTTCCCCATTCTATTTAGTTTCTTCTAAGTATGCAATATCAATCCACCTCTTCATAGTGTCTACCAGTTCCACAATCTTTCTTGTTAATCCTTGGGTTGGATTTCCCAAAGCTTGAACCCTAACCAAACCCATCAAAAAATGGGTTGGCCGAATCGGATTACTGAAAACCCCAACCCAATTGACACAAGATTGGGTTGGGTTGGTCAGTTTTGAGTTAAACCACACCACAATATGTCAGATTAGTCCAAAGCCAACACGGCTTCATGTATGTTATGTATCACATAAACATGTACAAATGTATTTGTGTGCATGAATATATGAAAAAACAATCTAGTATAACAATATAATACTCCTAAGCATAATTATATCTTTAAACATATAATAATGTTAAGCAAGAAAACCTTAATCAAGTTGAATTCTGAGAGAGAAGAAGATTTTAGCAAAAAGAAGTGAAACAAAAACTTGTCAACCCAAGACCATTTGGTTGGGGTAGGGTTGGGGGTACAATTTGGGTTGGATTAGGGCTGACCTCAACCCAACTTAACCCAGCTCAACTTGCAGTCTTGCATCCCTACCTAGCAGCAACAGAAGCACTTCTAAGTGTCTAGGGTTTTCTTTCCTGAATGACAAATGACAACTCAACAGGTCATTTACTTAGCCATTTCAACTATTATCAAAAGTCCCCTAAGACATGGCTTATCTGATTATATCTTCCCTCAACCTATATGAAAAGGAAAAAACATTTAAAAATAAAAATTTAAATAAGAAAAAAATCAAAGAATCAATAATAGAGGTTTTAGATTAAATGCGAGTTTATGTATCAAATCAAGATTAATTTTAGGTTTCCATAAGATAGTTTTAAGTAAAAAAGATGTCTTCACTGCAAACAATAAGGAAAGAAAGAGAGAGAGTATTTTTCTTGGGCCATGAAGCTTTTTCTAGAAAAGCCTACAAAATTTTCAAAAAGAAAAATGAGGAGAGGCAAAAGAAGACCTCTCTAAGGGAAGGAGGGGAGGCATGGGATGAGTGAGAAGGTCTGGAAGACGATCTTGATGGGGAAGAATAACTCAGCCTCTAAGCAGTGTATGCTGAAGTTTTTCTGATCAGGGTTGTGGTTGGTGAGGTGGAGTGTGGTTGTTTTTGCAAGTTGCTGTCATCCTGGTTGGGTTCGTGTAGGTTGTAAGTGATTTGGTTTTGTTTGTTGGTTTGGTTTTTTCCCTCAGGTGATTTCTTATCACCTTTATTTCTCTTTAATTTTTGGTGAGGTGGAGTGCGGTTGTTTTTGCAAGTCGCTGTCATCCTGGTTGGGTTCGTGTAGGTTGTAAGTGATTTGGTTTTGTTTGTTGGTTTGTTTTTTTCTCTCAGGTCATTTCTTATCACCTTTCTCCTGCAATTTCTCTTTTATTTTTGGTGAGGTGGAGTGCGGTTGTTTTTGCAAGTCGCTGTCATCCTGGTTGGGTTTGTGTAGGTTGTAAGTGATTTGGTTTTGTTTGTTGGTTTGGTTTTTTCTCTCAGGTCATTTCTTTCTCCTGTAATTTCTCTTTTATTTTTAATGAATTTTGTTTTAGTATAAAAAATGCATATCCTCTATATAATGTTAAATCATATGCTAATTTGCTAAATACATTCAAGACTAACCCAGATTGACCAAAAGCAATGTTCAGAGAACCGGGCAGGACATAGAATTGGAAAAGAAAGAGGTTCACGAGTCAAAGGTTCAACTAGGGTCAAACCAAAGGTCAAACAATGATGACATGACATATATGTATATGTATTGCAGATCATATAAATACTATACATAACATATTTTATAAATTATGTTATATTTGAGTGCAGTGGATGGAAAATTCTTTAATTTTTATAAATTATGTGTAACAAAGTAATATATGCAATAAAGAGTCATTAATTAGCACAAATAAAGAGGCCATAGGTTCAAGTCTTGCCATAAGCATTTGAAATTTCAATATTTAGTGACTGAGGCAGTTTCATTAAACTGGGACTGGTTCTCTGGTTAAACCCACCATCAGCCAGTTTTGACCAGTTTTATATGAATTCCGGTTTTTCGGGTATAACTGAACCAGCCAAGGACCCAGGTCAAGGTTCAACTAGTTCAAGCAACCGGTCCAGTCCGGTTTTACAAACATTTGGTAATTTCATCAGGTTTCATATTGATTAACAAAGAGTGTTGAGTTGTGGGCCGATTTTACTTGTTTTTTTATTTACATAACTTAGTTAGGTAGTTTTTCGGCCTTAGGCCCATTAGTTTGTGTTTAAGTTAAGTGTGGCTTTTCAGCTTCTTACAAGTAGCCGACTTACTAAGGGCATACTTGTACTTGTACACTATACTTTATGAGTAGATAATCTAATGAAAGGAGCTTTCAGATTTGATTTTTTGTTTCTCCCCATTCTCTTCTATCTCTCCTATTTCTTTCTAGCAGAAACCTTTTCCTCTCTTTTTTCTCTTCTTTGTTTTACAGAGTTTATATCAAAACAGGTTATCAAAACTTTTTTACTTGGTATCAGAGCATGTTTAAAGATTTCTTGAGCTCTACTGTTCCAGTTCGTTTTGGGGGTGATGCAGTTCTTATAGCAGTTTTCTTGATTAATCGGGCACCTTCTCGTGTTCTTGGATATAGCACTCCATTCAGCCTTCTTTTTCCTAATGGGGAGATATTCCATATTCCTCTAAGGGTGTTTGGATGTGTATGCTTTGTCCATGATCTTGGTCCTCATCACTCAAAGGTAGACCCTAAGGCAAAGAAGTGTGTCTTCCTTGAGTATGCTAGAAATCAAAAGGGATATTGTTTCTATGACCCAGTCTTTGAGAGTTGGTATGTTACTATGGATGTCACTTTTTTAGAGTCCACATCTTTTTCGCAAAGGGTTCTTCTCAGGGGGAGTCTTTTGGGGAAGGAAGTGAGCAGTCTATACCACTTCCAGTTCCAGCCACATTTGTCCACTAAAGTGTCAAACCCACCTATTTCACCCACCTTACCACCTCCCTTGCATCCTGTTTCTCAGTGTTTTACACGACAGCACCTACGACTACACAGGGAGGTTGATTCCACAACAAAGAAACCCACATCACTCCCTATTGGCTCATCGGAGATTCCAGGTTCAACTAACACTAACCTAGGTATGCCCCTTGCTTCCTCTGATGGTTTAGTTCCTATTGATACTACTACCCTTGCTCCTAACCCCATTGCAAATGACCTTGATCTTCCTATTGCACTCAAAAAAGGGAAGAGAAAGTGTACTGCTCATTGCATCTTACATTATATTTCCTACAGTGGATTATCTCCTTCCTACCAAGCCTTCCTTTCCTCCCTTGACTCCGTGTCTATACACAAGGGTGTTAGTTAGGCTCTCTCCAAACTTGAGTGGAAAGCAACTATGCAAGAGGAAATGAAAGCTTTGGTTAAGAATCAGATGTAGGAGATTGTGGATCTACCAGAAGGCAAAGAGACAGTTTGATGCATATGGGTTTATACAATGAAGTACAAGGCTGATGAGAGTATAGAAAGGTATAAAGCAAAGCTGGTTGCAAAAGGGTACACTCAGACTTATGGCATAGATTACTTGGAATCTTTTGCACCAATGGCAAAGATGAGCTTAGTCCAGATTCTTCTATCACTAGCAGCTACATACTCTTTGCCACTCTTCCAACTTGATGTGAAGAATGCTTTTCTCAATGGGGATTTGCAAGAGGAGGTGTATATGCATCTTCCTGGTTTCTACAATATGTAGAAAAGGGAAAGGAATGCATGTTGAAGAAGTCTCAGTATGGTTTGAAGCAATCACCCAGAGCTTGGTTTGATAGGTTTAGAAGTGTATTGGTTGTATTTGGCTATACTCAAACCCAATCTGATGGCACTCTATTTGTGAAGATGAGGGGGTCATTGGTTTCAATTTTGATTGTGTATGTGGATGACATTGTAGCTACAAGAAATGATTTGAGTGAAGATGAGGGGGTCATTCTCTCTTCTTTCTTTTACAAATTTTATATCAAAATAGGTTAACAAAACTTTTCTACTAAGAGAACCATGCAAGTTTAAGTTTATCGCCACTTCTGACCAGTGGACAAGAGGGAGAGAGGGAGGGGAAGAGAGAGAGAGAGAGAGAGCATAAAGCTAACAAATAATAAATAGCATATGTTTCAATGCAATCTAGAACATGCCAGACAGTGGAAGAGTAATGATTAGGTTACCTCAGCCTTTTCTCGTGGATCTGCAAGTTTTGGAATGTATTTAATGGCTTCATCTTTCTCACCAGCATCAACACAAGCCTCCACAAATGGCTTATAACCTATTTGATTCAACCATTATTATGAATCCACCTTGAAATGAGCATTAACAATTGAAAAGGAGAACTTAGCTTATAAAGAACGTAAAAGAATAATGTACAACTGGTCTTAATTCTTTACATTGCTTTGTTCTTTGGCAGTTATGTTATCAATAACGAAAACAATTAACATTAAGTGAATTGTGAAAAGCTAAAACACTTCTTTAAGGCTGATCATTCAAAAAAGAGACCACAAACCCCAGATGCTACAATACCGGGCCACATCAAACAAATTACATATCCATGCATGATATAACCCAACACTAAGGACATTACTAAAACATACTTAATAGCATTTAGCATGTACAACTCTAAAATATGAAAATGATATACTTTATCAAATCAGACTAAAAAAATATAGATTAGAACCTTAATTAAATTTTGCAAGACAATAAATCAGGTGAAGATCTCTCTGAGATCTCATGGGGCATTTCAATTTTAGTGTGAAGAGTGGATATATGAAATGGAAGGCATATCCTCTTAGAACCAGAGTTGTCAATGTGGTAAAGTGTTGACTAGTTGTTTTGGCCTCTCTAGTTGATGCGATAAATAGTCGGTGTCTAGGTGGTGGTTAGTCAATAAAACAAGATATGTTCTAAATTTAAGATATTGATACAATTTCATAAATAAGATAGACTACAACTATGCAATAAAAAGAATGATACTGAAACATTTAGTTTACAGTGCTTGTTTTGCAAACAAAGAGAAAGCAAAGCTGAATAGATTAGGACAGGAAATCATAACCTTCGTTTTCCAAAGAAGAGTGCAACCTTGACTATAAAATGTGCCATTTTGTTTATGGCAACTACATGTCAACACATTACTAATTGGAAGAAAATTTTAAAGATCCTCCACTGCTATATTCTTTGGAATATTTAAAGCAACAACATGAATATAACAAAATACATACTATGTTCTTTTGAATAATTAGGGGTACAAGCAAACAAATAAAGCTTTAAAATGAACTTTTGTTCGACTAGGTTGACTTTCCATTAATCATCAACTCGACCTAGTTGATGCTTAGTTGTCCTAGGTGGTCACAACAAGAATATCAACTGAAAAGTTAATGATGCAGTTGGTCTGGCACAATAAAACTGATGAAAACTGAATCACCTAAGCAATGGAAGGATGGCGAGAGAACTCTAAACAAAAACCATAATTTAGTGGGAATTTGCAAAGGAGAATAAGGGTGGAGATCAGAGGAGGTTTATCTTCCAATTGCAAGGAAAGGTGGCCTATGGAGAGTGGATATGTGCTGGGAACAAGGAAAGTATTCTGTCCATGGAGACTGATCCTGGTGAGAACTACTCACCACAGAGACTACTTCGAGGGAGCCCATTCCTCCTGAATACAGAAAGATAGAACAGAAATGAATTCAGGGAATCCGAATTGCCCAGTTCTAACTGCAAAATAGCCTGATATAGAGGCTCTGACAACAATCACAAATTCTAATGTGACATCATAACTAACTCGATCCATGTGGCTTTCAAATATAGACATATTTGATAGCTGGTTTCCGGTTTTGGGCAACATTTGGTCCTCTCAGAGAATCAGGCTTGGGCCCACTGGTTAGGCTGTGCCTTATCAATTTGCCCCCACCCCCCACCCCCATTGCAGCAACAATCCTAAAGGTTGGCATGCAGGAATTACTGTCGTAGGATGGCATAAACTTCCCTAGTAGCTTCCTCCAAGGGTAATTGAGTCCACTCAACCAACACCTCTCTGACCATCGAATTGCTGACACATATCCAAAGTTGGTCGAGGAACCTGAGGTTCAAGAATAGGCTTGCCTTCACCAGAAAGTCTGGTAGAGTTGGGTTGACAGTAGAAGATGGTGGGAGAGCTTTCTTCAGTAGTGAAATGTGGAACACAGGGTGCAAGCGGAATGTAGCTGGAAGCTGAAGGCAATAAGCCAATGCCCCCACCCTGTCAGTGATGCAAAATGGGCTAGTTCATCTCTGATCTCATTTCCATCCCCAGACATCCATCTCAAAGAACAAGTGCTTTTAATGACTAAATGCACTATGATTGGGCAAGGATTGATAGCCTTTTTTCGTAGGCAATAAAACAATTATGTAAATAGAAAAACATAAAAGGTTCAATGCCCCTATACAAAGAGTTCACATCTCCCCAAATGGGGCTGCCCCACATTACACCCCCGCCGTGTATTGGGAACATCTCTCGATGATAACATCATCGGTTCTGGTACTATCATCAGGAGATGTTCCCAATACACAGCGGGGATTTGCTGTGGGGTAGCACCTTGTGGGGAGGAGATGTGAACTCCTATACCGAAAAGCATGCAAAAGTAATAGGGCAATATGGGCCATATATAACATTTACAATTAAGCATTACCCTATGAGAGTATATAGGCCTAAAAGAAATAAGTATGTTCCAGTCTCAATCTTGGCCATTACCTGATTCTTGAAGCACTTCTAGAAAAACAGAAGCCATCATATTCATAGATAATATTTTAAAACTTTCAACTTAATCATTTACTATTGAAGAGTCAATACTTTTCATATCAAACTATGATGTAGATCCCTCACCCAGACCCAAAAGAAATTTTCAGATGGTGGTAACTCAGAGCTAGGTGTGTAATTGACACCCCTACTTCAGAACAAATATTTCAAAAAAATTGGATAGAAGGATTCAACAGGGAAGGAGATAAGATTATTAAATGAGAATCATAACCGATGCATTCAATTGTATTAATAATAAAAGGAGAGGATACAATGGAAATAAAGAGGGAGAGGATCCCTTGCACCATGTGAAGCTTGATAACAACAAAGGACCCTTCATTTGTACACTAAAAGAGGGAAAGTTTCCAGGATCAATGCATAAATTACTCTGGAAACCACGTCTACAAGTCAAAAACCTTACCAGTGGGTGGTCTCTTCTCTTTTGAAAATTTTTCTAGGGCATCCCAGTCTCTTGTTGTAACTAGAGCAAAAACTTTGAGCCAATACCATCTTTTCTCAGAAACCTGGTAAAAAAATAAATCTTGATAATTGGAGTTACAATATTAATATTTTTAAAGCTACAAAATCAAGACAAATAGGGAGCCAATAGACACGATAAACAGGAAAAGCATTTCTCTAATGCAGCTGCACTCCTGTTTTAATAATGTTCAGTTATCATTGGAATTAAGACAAACAATCTATGGTTACAAACCTTGAATTCTGTTCTCACTTTCATTGCAGCTCGATGGTTTCCTAGTACAATACATGTGCGAATTGTATCATTGACACTTGAATCAACAAATATGGCTTGTTTTGTGGTCACTTCTAATTCATGCTGCATTCTGTAAGAACTGAGGAATAAGTCCAAAATTTGCTTGAAGAATTATAAAGAAAAGAACATGAATACCAGAATTTATCAAAAAAAAAAAACTGACATTGTGCCTCCTGGATAAAGCCATTTGAAAATTTTGAGGAAGTGCAATAAACAGCAAGACTAGAAAACCACTCCCTTATTATTTCCTCATTTGGTCAACTAGGAAGCTGGCCTAAACAACCTACCCTATTTCTGCAACATTGAATGGTAATGTGGCAGGTATGAACTATTCATTGCATAAGGGGCTGTTAGATTGGCAAGGTGTCCGACCTCCATCCACATCAACATTAAAACCAACCTTGCAGTGGTTGCTTCCTGGTGTCATTTGACCTTCTACAGCAACAGAAAATGCAGAAAAACAACTATTGGAGAGGTTTGAGCATCCAAAGTTACCAAAACATATGAAAGGAGGAAGAATCAATAGCTGGACAAAATTTTCTCTTTTTCTTTTTCTTTTTCGTTTTTTTGATAAGGTAAATTAATGTATTAGATATAAAAATATTAATCATTCAAAGTACTAACTTTTTAATATAAAATTTACTCAAAAACAAGGGCTTATCTCTTGACATGTGCCTATAAGTTGAAGCTTGCCCAAGAATAGAGGTTGATAAGACAAACATGTGGGCTCTTTTGGGGCTCCCAACTACACTGCCACCTGGAAGATTTTTGGGTCATTTAGGGAATATCAGTAAAAGACCCAAGTGACCAACCTGCTTACAGCTTCATGGCAGTAGGTTCATTCTGGTGCTTCTTGTGCAGAGGGCTGGGAGTAGGTAGTTGTGGCTTTTTGATGACATGTTTTATCTATTGGGGACTGACTTCTTTCTCTTATTTTCTTGCTTGAGCCACATAGCCTTTATACATCTTATATACCTTTCACTTTAATACATTCAGAATTTAAATAAATATATAAGGGAAGAAATGAACAAGTTTGCCAGACTTTCCTCTTCCCACTCTATTTTATCATGAACAATTTCAACCTAAGAGACCTTGTCACATGTGCAAAGTAAGTCGCTTTATTAGCAAGTTTTATATTTTTAGCTACCATTAAGTTGAGAGTAGTCTGAGAGCAGCCACTTTGTGCAAAAATTCTAATGTTAGGTTTGTATCCAGTCAACCCCTCCCAAGACCCCAGATAGCTGGGACAAACATTTTTTGATGAATAATAGTGAAATTTTATTAATTCTGAAACTGATTTAGAATTGTAATTTCATAAAACATCCCATGGAGAGGCGCGACTTGCAGCTCTTAGTGGCTTACAAGAGAACTAAAATAAATTATAGAAATCACAGCTGAGCCCAAAACATTTCTTCCCTATTTACCCCTTGCTTGGCTAACACATCAGCCAAAGCATTTTCTGATCACCCCACCCACTGTATAGAGCTGGGACAAACATTTGGTAATGGCCTTTAAGTTAAGAATAGAGAATACGCATGAAGTCAGCCAGGACCACCTACTTGGTGAATGATTTCTGTTAGAAGTTAAATTTAGTTTTATTGTTCTCCTTTATATGGTAGGGGTATTTTTGTACTTCTACATTCTTTTATCTTTATTACTTAAGTTAGGATCATAAGTGTAATTTTACAAAACTGTTACAGTTCTAATAAAAGTGGGTGGCAGTGGGGTTGGTACATAGCTCGATGATTGGCTGTTCACCCTATTCTTCTCAATTCCTCTTCTCTGTTCTTCTTCTCTACTCTATAACAAATCAGGTTGCTTGCAGCCCACTTATTATTTTTCTTCCCTTTTATTGATCTTTATTCTTTTAGGCTACTCACATGATATCAGAGCACCAGTGATAGCCAGGGTTGTTCTTTGCTAGCCTTCAGTCACCATTCATTTGAGAATTGTTGAGTTGTGGGCTGATAACATTTGCTTTTATTTATAAAGCATAGTTAGAGAGTTATTGGGCCCAAGGCCCATTAGTTAATGTTTAAGTTAACAGTGTTTACCTAGTTTTTACAAGTAGCCAACTTACCAAGGGCAATACTTGTCTTTGTATTCAGTTTTTATTTACAAGTATATAAGCTAATGAAAGGGGCAGCCAGACCTAAGTTTTGGCTTCTCCCATTCTCTTCAATTTTCTGCAAAAACCTACTCTTTTCTTTCTATCTCTCTCCATTACACAGATTGCATATCAAAACAGATTTTTTGCACTTTTCTACTACTGGATTGGGGTTCTATACTTCTATTTGCTTTTAGTCAACAAGTTTAAGCCACAACAACAATTGCATCATTTGTGCTTTTTCCCCTTTTTCTGCTAGTCAAAAACTATTTAACCAAAAGAAATAAAACTAACTACAATCACATAAAAACTCAATTAACTGAACCTTAAGGCCCAGCCTCACGGTAGGTAAAATTTTCAAAATATGCCTATTGTCCAAAATTACAGAAAACTAACAATTTTGACTTGTTTGTTCATGCATCATCAACACTTGAAGCTTATATCAATGAGAAGATGATGAAAGATTTGATAAACATGAGAAGATTCTTTCATAAACAAGAGAATAGGAAAAAGGAAGATTATGAATTAAAGCATGCAACCAATCTAAAATTAATCATTAGATCAGAAATCATGAATTAAGGACAGATATAGCCTTAATTGATACTAAATGGTAAATAGGAAAACTCCCATCATTATTTTTTCTTAACAAAAGGAAATCCATAATGTACTACACTAGTATAGGAACGTAATCATCTTGTTATATACCTTAGCAATTTGGCATGCTCTTCAGCAGCTTTTGCCTCAAATGCATGTTCCTTGGTCTCTGAGAAAAGATTTTGTGCCTTCTCAATTATTTTTATGCGTGGACCATGAAGTGGAGATCCCTTACTTGCCATTGGATTTTTTACCAGTTCCCATGATTCTTTCCATAACAGGAAAGCCACATCCTAGAAGACAAATAACCCTCAAAAAATCTGGAGAGCATTTCATAAAAGCCAAAATATCATAGAAGGTTCTGAACTGAGTTCCAAGTATCTCATAAATTCCTAGATAAGAACCCAAGAAATGGACACAAATATGAGAGATCAGGAAATGACTATTCATTTCTTTAAGATCCAGGACACATAAAGGTACACTATGTCATTTAATATGGTGACACCATACTTTTATATTTTGTTTTTTAAGCTAAATATCATTTCTTTTTTCTCTTTTGGGATAAATAACAATGATCCAGGACACATAAAGGCATTCTATTAATTTATTAAGTAAACTCCAGCTGACCACTGTGATTGGGCTATAGAGAGCCAGAACAGTCAATAACCGATAGAAGAAATAGAAGGATGTAATCAAATCTTACAATAGTGTCTTTGCCTCCTTGGCCAAAAAGTCAGCAATATCATTAGCTAATCTAGGAGCCCATCAGCATCCCATGAAGCTGTTAAGCCTGGCAGCCAGTGACTTTGAATAAGATGTGTATGAGCCCAAAGGCCATCTAAACAAGTTGGCATCCAACCAAATAGCCCAATTTCTTTTTCAAATATATATTTTCAGATTATGTAACCTCTTCTTACAAAAGATGGTGATATCATCAATAAACCATATGCATGAGACTAGCACTTTCCTCATATCCCACTCAAAAACCCCAAAAGGACCCACTTCACTTGCTTTTGATACAAGACCAACCACAAAAATGAAAAGAGGGGTCAGTGGGTCTCCTTGCCTTAATCCTCTCTTAGTAGGAAAGATATCTCTAGCCCAACATTCACAAGATCTCCTCCCAAACCCCAATTTATCTAGAACCCAATCAAAGATAAAGCAGCTTACGTTATCATATGCCTTTCTCAAATATTTTTTTTATCAATAAATTAAGAATTTACCATCTATCCACTATATTTAAGTCTTTCTCAAATATATTTTGCAAATGAAGTACCCTGATCAAGATGAAGTGAACGAAGATGATCCTGATAGAGGGGTTCGACCAAGGGTCTTGGGAGCCCCAACTGATTGCTGATAGATGATCCTTATAGACCTATTAGCCTAGTGAACAGTTTATATAAGATCATTGCAAAGGTTTTGTCCCTCAGGATTAGACAGGTGCTCAATACCATTATCTCAACTAATCAAGGACCTTTTGTGAGGGGCAGGCAAACCACTGATCAAATTCTTATAGCAAATGAGAGTGTAGAGGACTTTAAGAAATCTAAGAAGAAGGGGGTGGTCTGTAAGCTAGATTTGGAAAAAAAGCTTATGACTTGGTAGACTGGTCCTTTTTGTTGGAGGTGATGACTAGTTTTGGGTTTGGAGATAGATGGTGCAGATGGGTGTTGGGGTGCATTCGGTCTTGTCACTACTCTATTTTGGTGAACAGAACGGTGGTAGACTTCTTTCCAGCATTGAGGGGAATAAGACAAGGAGATCCCCTTTCTCCTTTTTTGTTCACCTTGGTTACTGAAGTATTAGGGAGTCTAATCTCTAAGGCAAATTCTAGAGGGCTAATTAAGGGATGGAGAGTTGGCAGGGAGAGTATACCACTAACACACTTGCAGTTTGCAGATGATACAATTTTGTTTGTGAGAGGGGGGACATGAATTGGATTAGGAATGTGAAACTTACAATACAACTATTTGAGCAAATGTCCTATCTGAAAGTTAATTTTGATAAAAGTTGTGTTGTAGGTGTGAATATGGGGGAAAGTGAGATCCTTGAGTGTGCAAATATTTTGGGTTGTGGAGTATCGAATTGGCCTTTGATTTATCTCGGTCTTCCTCTAGGAGATAATCCTCAAAAAGGAAGTTTTTTGACTCCTGTAGTGGAGAGGTTTGAAAAGAGACTTGCCTCTTGGAAGAAAAACTACTTATCTCTTGGGGGAAGAATTACCTTAATCAGGTCTACCCTAGCTAATCTGCCCATCTATTACCTTTCAGTCTTTAAGGTGCCTGCAAGGGTGGCTAGCAAGTTGGAAAAATTAATGAGGGACTTCTTGTGGWAGCCRGGRGAGGAAAAAAAKGATCATAGGGTTAGATGGGAGATGGTGTGTAGGAATAAGCAGGATAGAGGGCTAGGCATTGGGGATATAAGGAAGAGGAATTTGGCTTTGCTAGGGAAATGGCTGTGGAGTTTTTCTTTGGAGAGGGAGAAACTGTGGACTAAGATAATTTGTAGTATTCACGGGCTTGCAGAGAATGGTTAAGACTCTAGGATTTTGGCTATGGCTACAAGAGCATCACAATGAAAATCCATACAAGATATTTTGCCCCTCTTCTCTCCTTGGATCAAGTATGATTTACACACTGGTAATCTCATAAAGTTGTGGGAACATGTTTGGGTTGGGGAGACCCCTTTGAAAGAACAATTTCCGGCTCTATTTGCAATCTCCACCCTCAAAAATGAACCAATTACCAATTTCCTTGTTTCCTCAAACTCAAATTCCGGGTTTGCTTGGAACTTGGGTTTGAGAAGAGCACTCAGGGACACATAACTAGATAATGTTTCAACTCTTATGTCCATTCTTGATGGGATTTTCTTGGAACCCATAAAGATAGATAGTAGGATCTGGTCTCTGTCTCCCTTTCGATCCTTTACTTGTGCATCCTTCTTTAAATCCCTGATACAACCAGAAACTCCTATTGGACTGTCATTCCCTGTCAAGGAAGTGTGGTGTAAACCAGTAGAAGATCAAGACTGTAATCAGTCTTGAATCCTAATAGGTTTTAGGTTTACAAAACAGAAGAAAATGAGAGAAAAGGAGAGAGAATAGAAGAGAAACAGGAGAACACAAGTGGTTGAAAGGAAGGACAGATTCTTACTTATCTGCCGCCGCCACTTTCTTATTATTTATAGGTTATGTTTAGTACATAATGGAAAGGACACATCTGCCCTTAGTACTTACATAATAAATAAAGTAAATAAAAGCTGAAATAAATAACAACTGAATTAACAAACTGACTCAAACTGACACTACTATAACTGGAACAAATAACTACACATGCTGTCCTACGAACACAGTGGGGACCACTGCAGTGGGGCCCACATCAGTGTTCTCTACAAAACCTATACCTCCGAGGGTTGGGAACTTTTGTTGGGAAGCTTTCCTTGAAAGAATCAACACAGGTGACCTACTTCAAAGAAAAAGACCTAATAGTTGTTTATCTCCACATTGGTGTGTTTTATGCAAAGCTGCTAATTTTGGCAAAAAATATTTGGGATTGGTTTGCCACTTTATTTGGGTGCAGGTGGACACCTCCAACTAGTCTGCAAAGCTTGTTTTCCTCTTCACCTATTGAACACTCAACGAAAAGATCAAGAATTATGTGGAGATGTGTGAGAGCTATTGTTTGTTGGACATTATGGGAGGAAAGAAATGCAAGAATCTTCTCGGAAAAGGAGAGAGGCTTGGAAAATATGGTAGAGTTGATTCATATAAGAGTAATACAATGGCTGAAGACAATGAAGGAGTTCACAGATTTCTCAACAAACGATTTGCTAAGAATGTGGAAAGAAGTTGTTAGCTCAATTACAAGGAAGAAGACTTTGAATCTCATGTGGAAAACTCCACCTCCTGAGGCCTTCAGGTATTGGGGGGGGGGAGGTCCTAAGGGATGAGAAAGGTAATGTAATAGCTTTGTTCTCTAGTCCAATTGGAGTGGGAAACTCCTTGAGGGCTGAGGTGTTAGCAGTATTGGAAGGGGTGCAAAGGACCAAAGAAATTAAAGTAAAGAAACTGATTATAGAAGGAGATTCTGCGGTTGTTGTGGATTGGTTGAAAGAAGACATTTCCAAGATGTAGAGCTACAGCAATGAGAAAAGAAAATTCAAGTGGCTGATTAAGGATATGGAAGTCCTAYGTACTTGGGTTAAAAAAAATGCTAATTCCTTTGCTGATGGATTGGCTAAGCAAGGAGTTTTTAGAAATTCTGGGTTTTGGGCTCAATTGTAAGGTTCTGAGTGTTTAAATCAGATGTATTTCTGTTCTGGGGAGTTAAGAATCTTTAGCTCCTCTTCCCTGTAACCTTTTTTCCAATATTAATGAATTTTGTGGTTATTGATCAAAAAAAGAGGAGTAATTGGGGGGAGGGAGAGGTCAGATGGAAAGCTAAACTGGCAGTGGGAAGTGCAGGAGGATTGTTGAGTCTCTGGGATCCTACTATCTGTAGTTTAGTTTCTGCTCACATTGGGAGATTCTTAGTTTCATTAATTGTGAAACTTCCTGATGGTAACATTTGCCAAGTCACAAATGTCTATGGTCCAACAGATGGTAATCTTCAGGAGGAGTTTTGGAAAGAATTGGTTGAAGTGAGGGGTAATCTATCTTAGCCATGGGTCAATGGTGGAGACTTCAATGTCACTTTAGCTGCTGTTGAGAAAAACATCAGTGGAAGGAGGTCAAGAGGGACGATTCAATTTGTTGATTTCATCAACAGATTTGAGCTGATTGACTTTTCTCTTTAGGGAAGCCGATTTACTTGGACGAACAATCAAGATACCCCGACTAGTGAGGTTGGACAGGGTTTTGGTTTCCTTGAATTGGGAAGATCTTTTTCCTAATTTTAGGTAGATTGTTCTTCCTAGGCCTGTTTAAGATTATTGTCCAATTCAGCTGGTCTATGGATTTAGAGGTAGAATTGGTGCACCTTTCAAGGTGGAGAATGCCTGGTTTGAAGATGAGAAGTTTATTCCTTTCTGAAGAATGTTTGGAGTGAAATGCAAGTGGAGGGTACTAGCTCTTTCATTTTGGCAAATAAGCTTGGTGCAATTAAGAAGAAACTGAAAATCTAGAAAGCGGAAAACAATTTGAATGCTGAAACTGAAAAGAGATCCTTGTTGAGTCTTATTAAGGAAATTGATGCTACAGAAGAAGCAGGTCCTTTAACTGAGGAAAACAAAATGAAGAGGTTTCAAGCAAAAATTAAGTATGATAAGTTGGTAGTAAAAGAAGAAATCAAGTGGA